TCTCTCAATTACTCCTAGAATCTCTCTCAATTAGGGATTGATTAAATCTTTCCCTTAATCCTAGGATATGACTTTCCTAATTTTATTCAAATCTAATCTTTCCTAAATTTATTCAAATCTGTAATCAATCAAATCAAATCTTTCTATATTTGCAGCAAATCATATCTTTCTTAATTTGCCGCAAATCATATCTTGCCAACACAAAATATAGAAAGATGTTTTATGAAATGATAAAAGAAGCATAGGCACACCTTTTAAATTATTATCTTGTTGCAAATCATTAAACAAAGCTAAGAAACTATGGTTATAGACAAAGAATACATTATGAAGTTGCCCTGTGAACTTTAAAATTCAGAGTAAGAAAAAGTTTAACTCATAGAAAATGTAAATGATTGTATAGATCAACTAAATAATGTATTATACTAACAAAAAGCTAATATTTAACTTCATGTTTGAAATGAATATTGAGCTTGCTCAAAGTGGTAATCATGTAAGTTAGGTGGGCAATAACATTGTTACTTAACGTATTTACAATAGTGTATATATTATAATATTATCTCTTGGACTCTACATAGTACTGGTAGCATTCACTGGAGAATATGTTGATTCTAGTAAAATTTCATGTGGCTACCTATGGAAGTGGAAATGGAAATATGTCATGGAAACTATTTGTTATACTGCATATGGTGCTGGTAGTGTTCATTGGGGAAATGTCGATTCCGGTAAAATTTCGTAACGCTACCCATGGAAGTGGAAATATGTCGTGGAAATAGTAGGGAAATTAGGGACATTTTAAACCATGTTTATATCTCAGTCATAAAGACTCGGTCAATAGAACATTTTCCATGCAAAAGTCATGTTCCAGAAGGAAAGTAGTCATGATTAGAAAACCATTTCCATTAGGAATCACTCTTATACTCAATATAATGGAAACACAATCCATCAACTGAGGCTTCTTGCGTATCACTGTATTGGAGACTGAACTACAGGAACTGATGCAAAAGGCCTGGAGGATTTTAAGGGAATGGTGATAAGTTTGAGAATGGAATTTCTTCAACAAACAACACTTGATGCAGGAGCATCAAGCATAAAATATTTAGGCCTACATTCAGCCCAATCCTGAAAAGGCCCAATGGTTTATAAAAGTAGTCAAAACACTTTTAAATGCAACTAGTTTTAGGAACCTAAAAGTCAGAAAGGGAAAATTACAGATGCAGAATGTGGGAATGATATTAGATAAATGATAAAGCCAACATTCCAAATTAGAGCATTAAGTAGTAAATTTAATCAATTAGGAGTTGATTATGCATAGGAATTATTAAGATTAGTCGAAATGGGTGCAACTACTTGATAAATAAAGACACCTAACGTAATTGCTAATTTCTCTTTATATTAGTAAATCCGTCAGCTTACTTTGAGCATTTCCTCATATTACTTCTTTAATTGTTTAGTTCATTGCTGCAGTCCCAATTTTTCTGATTCAGACAGGAAAATACCAAAGAGGATAGCCATTGAGGGATGGAAGGAAACTTTCCATTGGTTTGTTCGTTGACTCATCTTGCTTAAAGAACAATAATTCTAAAGATTTTTTATTCAAGAAGATAATGAAATAAAATTCTATTCAAAAAGGGGAATTAATAACTCTGAATCCAAGGTACTGTTTAATAACAGATGAAATGGCTGACCTGAATGACTTGTTGCTTTGTCATTTAGTGAATAAGATTTAAGGAGGTAGTAAGCTCCTTGAACGGTGAAGCTGAAGTTGTGCTAATTACTATACCCTCAAATATTTTATTATCTTAATAATTTATCAACTAAAAGAGAAAGCATTGAGTCAGTTCAGCCACTTCAGCTGTCATCAAACAGTTATATATTAGCATGAAGAAAAAACAAAGGACAGCAATATATATTACATAAAGTAGAATCTTCAAGATCACAAGTTGTACAAAGAGATCAGAATGGAAATTCTCAAAATCATTCTAACGAAGCACTAAAAATTTGGGGAAGTAATTCTAAAATGTGTTACCTGAGCAAGTTTCCGCAATCTCCGCAGGCAAATAACTGATTCCCCTTGGCCAGCTTCCTAAATGACACAAAAACAATTTTAATAGTCAGAAAAGTAGGAGAAGAGCAGAAAATCCAGCTGTCCAGTTTATGTTTATATGAAAGAATGATCCACGGAAGGACCTCTAATATCCTCACAGAATCTTGAACAAGAGCCTCAGCATCCTTCTCTTTTCCTAGAAGATAGAGAACCTGAGAGATATTGTTGTAGCTTAGTGTCTGCACTAGAAACACAAATGATGTATATAATAAGGGAAAAGAAGGTGTAAGACAATAAAAATATATTTGTGGGTAAACAAGTGGATCTTTACTAGTATATATGGTAAGACCCAGAGCAGATGACAAAACGAAGGCCTTACATAGCAACAAAGGATCGCAAATGAAACGGAATTGGGTTGGCCCCTTGCTATTTACCTCACAAAGCCACATCAATCAAGTCTCGTGTGGTGCCTTGTGAGATCGCAATAAATGAATCTCACAAAAGCCGCCTCATTGGGTCATTGAATCTTGTAGTCTTGTTAAACTGCAAATAGCCCAATATTGTGAGAGTCGTCTTGCCAAACCACTGAATCCCACCTTGCAGAATGCTTTGCAAAGCGACAATACCTCACATGGTTACAATGATTTTGCCTCACATGAGTGAGATATCTTGTCTCACCTAGCTATATTTACTTCACAAAGTCTGCAAGGTGTGCAGAGACAGATATGCGTGCAAGGCAAGTAGACAAGAGAGTATAATGAAGGTTAGATTCAGAGTGTCAGACATGTGATCAGTGCCTCACGGAAACCAGGAAAGGCTATACCTGAGTATCATACCTTGTGGCCCCGAAAGACACATGTTCCAGAGAGGTCTAAAGGACCCATCTCCGGGCTAACCTAAACTAAGGAATATTTAGGAATTCTTGCTCCATGCACACAACCTTGTTCCCTCATTTCTATAAATAGGGAAACCCTTATCTGTGAAGGGGATTCAGATCCTAGTAGTCCATTTGAGTCCCATGTCCTATAACATCTTTCTTCCCCACTTCCAAAGCTCTAAGTCCATCATTATCCCTGTTGGCTTACAGGAGGAAGAAGATACATTCAGAATTTCAGATCTTAGTCAGGGTTGGGTTCAAGCAAGAACCACTGGGGCGGGAGAGGCAGTCGAAAAAGTAGTAGCAGGAGATCGGAGTGGGATCGGGACTCGAACATGCCTGCTCTTTTCCTTTTGGATCTGCTGCATCTGACACGGGTGAGGGCGAGGTGGGGATACTCAACGAAGGGCTGGCTGCTCTAAACTGCCCCTCTTCTCGCTAGCAGAAAGAAGGTTTTCAGTAGCAGTTTTCTTCCTGGCCTTGGGCTTAGATCTGGATTTAAGGAAGAAAAACCGCTCTTATCGAAGTGTATATATAATATAAGATATGTTGATCCCTTGTTCCTTCATCCAGATGATTCGGTAAACGGATTGGACACACCGCCCGCCAGCAATAGGAGCAGAAGATAGCCTTTCATAACCTTTTCGGTTCACTTTGTGTCTTCATGGTCGTCTAGTCCGCACTTTCTACACAGCAGCAGCCTCCCTTATGTTAGGGGGGCTGCTTGTTGGGGAAATCTTTGACGAAACCCACCCCAGCAAACGTAGGCTTGCTCAAAAGCCGGAGTGTGCTAGCAGCATGTTGAAAAACTACTGCACATGCTAGTGTGCAGCTCCAGCTTGCTCGGATGCAACAAGCGAGAAAACTACAGCGCAACAAGCAACGGATTGAGCATTAGCGCTCAAGCCGTTGCGCGGTAGCGCAGCCAGCGGTAGCGCATGCACCCATTTTGAACCTTGCTGCTAGCTGTGCTAGCGCTCAAGCTGTTGCGTGGTAGTGCAGCCGAGCAAGCAATTCAAAGTCGTTGCTTGTTGCACTAGCACATGCATCCATTTTGAATCTTGCTGCTCCGACTTTCTTCGCATGCTTTCACGCTGACGTGCTCAAGCCGTTGCGCTAACGTGTTGTGGAGGGGGGGCAAAGCCAGATACTTGTGCGGAGATGAGATTGATGCTCCGCTCGCCCTCTTATCGCCACTTTATCCTCTAAACACCTATTTGCCCTTGATCTCCTTGTGTCGTGGTCCCACTGCAGGTATCCACCCGTCTTGTTGCAGCTTTTCGTTCGTCCAACATAGCAAACTCACCTTTGTTTGCTCTCCACATCGTTAGAGCGCCCCACCCCAGGACGTTGGCTGCTGTGTACGWAGATTGGGCTAGGCCCGCACTTGTTCCATCCAGCCCAGCCTGAAGTCGTACAATTCTTGTTCAATCCATAAACAGATCCCCCCTAGCTTGGTATTTGACTAGTCAACCGATCCATACTTTGCCTCACCACTTTCAACAAAGTCATCCAACACAGCATTGCCTGAAGGGATGAGAGATCCATCATATGGAAAGCCGAACCCTGCAGGTAGGTAGGGCGAAATTTCAAAAATTTCTCTATCCCATGTGGGAATCATATTCCCTGTTTTAGAAAACTGCATTTTCAATGATCAATCTTGAACCTAAACCGGACCAAATCTGAAACCAAAAGGTAGGAGAGGGATGTACCTGATACAGAGTAACAGTAACTCCCAACGAAGGTGTTCACGCCCAAGGAAAACCCCAAAGACTGCTCCCACTAAAGATGACACAGCGTAGGGTGGAGCAGAATCAATAGGTGGTTCTTCCCAAGAACCAAACTCTTCAGCAAGAATTCAATGGAGGGTGAGTGAGCACGACTTCATATCAGTTTTTCACCAAAAAATGATATTAAGAACCTTTCTTGATCGCTCCTACTGGTGGAGAACGAACTGGCAATGGCGGCAGCAATAGGAGGCAAGAGCAGAAGATGGCGTCAGTCTTACTGGAGCTGTCTTCTCTCTTGAATCTATAATCAGCTTGGGTGAATTGGGGTTCGCCCTCCTCCTCTATTTATAGCCTTAAAGAGAGCTTCTCCTAATCCCATTAGAAGTTTCCTAATTCAAATTTTTATTTGAATCTGGACTCTCTTTAAGAGATAAGGATAAATCCTTATCTTATCTGCAGATAAAGATCAGCCCTCCTAATCTTATTAGAAGTTTCCTAATCTAAATCTTTATTTGGATCTGGACTCTCTGAGTGGATAGGGATAAGTCTCTATCCTATCTGCGGATCTAAATCCCAGATCCGCCCCTCTTTAATTAATCAAATTAAATCAGTTCGAATTGGGCTTTAGGCCCATTAAGTCCATGTGCTCATTCAGCCTCCAAACTACTGCCCAATTGGGTTTCCTTGTATGGCGTTGGACCCAAACATTGATCTACACATCAGCCACATGGGTTCAGCCTAGCCTCTGTTACAAGGCCTGGCTGAATTCACTATAGGAGACAATGAACCCCTGAGCCCATCACATGGGCTCTTAATGGGCCCAACACTTACACTAAGTGGTCCCTGGGCCAAGCCACCTTATAAAAACCCAAGGACTGTGGGCAGATGCAAGATTAGCCCATCAGGTATTACCTTCAATGGTCTTACACTTAACCTCTCAGCCCATAATGATCAAACACTGCCTGACAAGAGAGGACCTCTCTCTCAGCTGTAAGGAACAGTGTTGCACTCTCTACTCACATCGATCCCAGGAATTAAAACCTTTTGCAAACATTTTGAAACCATAATATATATATGTATATCTCTATATAAATATATTTTGCAAAACAAATTTCAACGATTGAAATCGGCTGTCGGTAGCTTTGGTTTCCATCAGAGAGAGTGCATCCCCGATCATTACCTTTGTCCGACAAAGGGGCTGATCCTGTCATATGATCACTCACTCAGATGAATTCTTAAACTGTCCCAACATACTAGGTTTTGACCCCCTCTAAGGATCTCACTGATTGGCATATCAAAGACAGCCCAATCCGACACCTAGTGTAGTATCATAATCGAGTCTAGGGGTCAGGTGTAACATTTCAGTTTTACCCACCAGTCCCCAAGGGGGCAATACTGGAATTTTGGGCTGGTTCAGGGTTTCAAGAAAACCCACAATGCATGTACCTCAGGTCTCACCCTTGCAGCTGAGACAAGCCACCCCAACCAACTTGGTAGCACATCAGTGTCAGCCTTGGCAGGATAAATCTCCCTAGATCTATCCAATGGCTATGAACATTCTAAACTAACACGAGTCTCATATGTGTCCAGTTTAAGGGTATTACACAGAAACACACTACAATAGCATGAATCAAATATGTACTTTATTCATTTACATTAAATGTCATAAGGTACATCATTCTGATTGGAGCTAAGGGCATACACTGTCTAACATTGCCATCCAGAGAGCCTTTGAGACAAACAGTACTTTCCCATCTCAATGTAACGTGGACCCATCAACTTCCCGTACTCACATCCACTTCGCTCCCAAACAAACTCAATTCATAACATGGATCAACAGTTCACTTATAAACCTACTCAACCACAGCAAGAAAGGAAGCCCCCTAAAATACTTAACATTAACTACAYTGATCTTTTCCAAAACCTCCTTACCCAAAACATGATCCAACACCCACGCATCAAACCCGATGCTCCCAAACACACGCGAAGACCAGTACCGTCACTTTCATCGAACACCCGATCATCTCGTAAGAAAGTGTAATGCTTTATATACTACTCCGTTAATTGCCTTTGGACGTCCCCCACATCARATACTTCTCCGTTCATTTGGGGAGTCAGGCGGGCTTCTCCATTGGGGCCGGAGCACTTTTTTGGTTTCGAAATAAATATGGGTTCTCAAAAATAAACGAGACTGCTACCACTCCGATAATGGGGGTGTAGTCGAGACTGAATGGTTCTTGAAGCATAGAGCGAGTTTTCTAACAATGGCAAAGGAGTACCCGGACATCATGGGATCCTACRTTCTCCCTCTCCTTCTTCTATCATTCAATCCTATGAATCCGCAAGTCGTGACATTATGGTACAGCCTAGATGACATGTGAAGTACAGCTCACTTAGCGCCACTCCATTACTATGTTGTGATATTAGTTTGAAAAGGAAGAAGAGTTTGAGAGCAAAATATGAGAGTAATCTGTCTATCCTCTCTCAAATAACATTTATAATAACACCCCTGTGAACATAAAACATGCAATACAACAAAGTCATAGGAAAGCCAATTAGCAACTCTTTGCAGCTTCATTTTCAAAAGCAAAGCCAATTTATATCCAAGTTACATCCACCTTTCAGATAGAGAGAACAGAGAATGAAATACAAGGAATAAATTGGAAAAAAAAACACAATGGAAAATTAAAATGCTACCGTTCCAAGATGATACATCGTATCTGCATAGTCTCTATGGGCATATCCAAGAACACGCCCTTTGATCTACAAAGTATAAGGTGATATTGAAGTCAAAATTTGAAATCATTATACAGTAAGAACAAATAGAAAATGGCTACCAAACATCAAATGATAAGGAAATATTGTGAAGAAAATTATGAATCATGACCAGAGAATGAACATGATGCAACAGTAGTAGATTCATACCTTTAAAGCCCGCTGCCAGAGGATGCATGAAACAGAAAGAAAGATAGTTGTTAGTATGTTGGATCCACTGTCATAAAAGTTATACAAAAACACCTCAACAAGATTATAAGAAAAGAAAGGTTGGACTGGTAATAATTCAAGGACATTTACTGCACACCAAGCATGTTCAGAAAACAAAGAGAAAGTTATGAAAAATATATCATAAGTTATTGAAGCAAACTCACATACTTTCCATTTATCAAGACTAGATGCATACAGTAATTTTTTTGAAATGTGAAAACACTTTGACTGAAGCTCTAAAAGTCTGGGTTATCTGTCAAGAGGTTACCTTGGATTTGGGATTGTTGAGTGCTCGTGGCAAGAATAGTATAGGTCTGGCAGAAAGGGAGGAGCAAGCAGAGGGTCAGCCTGACTCAATGAACGATGTGGATCAATTATGAGGACATGAGAATGGAATTGTGCAAGGGATATTCAAGATGTTTCTAGGGATCTACAGCTGAAGGGCAATGAGAACAAGTAGTTTGTATGGAAATAGGAGGAGTTGACGATCTGTTTATAAGAGGTCAGATACAATACCTGATGAAGATGGTAGGGATGGTCATTGGCTGGGCCAGGCTGAGGCCGACTTTTTGCATGGCATTAACAGCCTTGAGGTCTGCACATGCCCAGCCTGGCCCACACCCCGGGCCTGATAATACATGTCTGGGCTGGTACCATGCTGGCTCACATGATTACACAATATATATATATACATATATATATATATATATAATATCATCAGTAGGAAATTCAGAACTGTAATCTGATTTGATAACAGAAATAAAAGAAAGGAAGAGAAGAAGAGATGGGAGAAGCCAATAATAGATCTGACCACCCCACACAATAGCTTATATACATATTAAGTAAAAGAAAATACAATGACCAATCTGCCCTAAATAGGGTGGCTGCTACTAATTACATAAAAACAAACATGAAAAATAAATTTAAACTCTTGACCTTGGGCCTGACAGCACTAAATAAAAAGAAACAAAAAATTGCTGAATCTCAACACTCCCCCTCAAGTTGGGAGTAAATGTCACACATTCCCAACTTGCGTAGATTATGTTCAAGCTTCTTTTTTGCAACTACCTTGGTGAGTACATCAGCGAGTTGTAAATCAGATGAAACCTATGGCAGACAAACTTCTCTAAATGTCACCCATTCTCTTATGAAATGCCTGTCCACTTCTACATGCTTTGTCCTATCATACTGAACTAAGTTATGGACAATGTTAATTGCTCCTTGATTATCACAGTAAAGCATCATAGGTTCCTCCACACCAATTCCAAGCTCTCCTAGCAAGGACCAAACCCAAAGAAGCTCTAAAACACCATGTGCCATAGCTCTATAGCCTGCTTCTACATTTGACCTGGCTACAACTAGTTGCTTTTTACTCTTCCATGAAATCAAATTACCTCCAACAAGAGCGCAAACTCCTGATGTGGATCTCATATCATCTAGGTACCCTGCCCAACCTGCATTTGTGTAAGCTTCTAGCTTCAAATATCAACAAACAATAACCCTTTGCCTGGGTTCCTTTTCAAATAAGCAAGTGCCCTACCAATGGCTTCCCAATGCTAAGCCCGTGGGGCATGCATGTACCAGCACACCACATGAATTGCATAGGAGATATCTAGTTGTGTCATGCACTAACAATCGGCCCACCAATCTCTGATACCTCCCAACATCCTTGACTAGCTCAACATCTAAAGCATTAATTCTGTGATTCTAGTCAATAGGTGTATCAGCTAGTTTAATCCCAAGTTTTACTCTCCTGTAGTAGGTCCAACATGGGGATGAGACCTGTAGGGGAAAGTTGAGGGTAAAGGAAGAGGTTTTAGCAAAAGGAAAGCAGTGCTGAGAGTTGACGTTGGGAGGGTAGGGAGGATGGAGGAAAGAACAAAGGTGCTAAGAGCCAGTCTTGTAGGGAGATTTGTTGGACTGGAATTGGATGTGGATAAAGTAGAAGCCTAGGCGAGCTTTGAATGGGGACGCGATAAGGTGTTGGGTATTATAAAGCTGAATGCAGGGCTTTACCTCTTCATGTTTCACTGCAAAGAGTGGGCTGAGAAGGTACTAGAAGCGGAGAGGACAGAGAGGGACTTCGATCTTAGACTGGGATGGTAGTTCCCTACAAATGGAGGTCTGAGCGAAGAAGGCAAGGGAGGAAAAGGACAGTATGGAAAGATGTAGTTGGAATACCCTTTCATGCATGGAGCATTGTCACTTTCGAGGAGATAGGTAGGTATTGTGGGAAGTTCCTGAAATTCTACGATAAAAATAGGAGTTAGGATAAGTTGGACATGGCCAAGATAATGGTAGCAGTGGAGGAGGTTGCAGATGTTCCAGATAGGACGAAATTAATCTTTGCAAGGGAAAGCTATGATATGAAGTTAATCGTGGAAGGAGAAGATGGAACCTTCCTAGGATTTTCTTAAGAGAATGGTGGGAGAGGGGAGGATTTTAAAATACTGAAGGATGGAGATGATAGTAGAAATAAAGCCTACAACAAGAATGGTAAGGAGAAGATGATTCGTCCAAAGGACAAATAAGATGATAAGGTGGAGAAAATGGGGGTATTTTTGGTATTTCGCAAGGCATAAGAGAGAAATTTCAACAAGGGGGGACATGTGGAAGGGGAGATGGAGGGAAGAAGAGAAACCCAATCAACGTGTGACAAAGAAGGGGAAGAATTTTCACTGGCAAGGGCTAAAGAGACCAAGGCGAACTTAAGCTTTTGCGAGACCCACAACCTAAAATCTCATGGGGTGGGAAATTCCAACACAGTCACATGTCAAATGGATTGGGGGTCAAGAGGGGGAGGGGTATAATTGGGAAAAACTTTTTACAAAGGGGCAGGGTTAAAAATTTGATTAAAAAGATTGGTCAGCCAAAAGGGGGTAAGGACGATTGGATCTGGGTGATAACAAGATATGACAGATGAGAAGAAGGTGGAGCTCCAGCCAAGGAGTAGCTTGGCACCGGTAGCAGGTGAACTAAAAGATGATGCCCTGAGCGGCATAAAAGGTGAAGGAATACTTAAGGAATCCACAACAGCTAGAGGGAGGTCGTCAAATATCTTGATACAAGTTGACAAGTCTAGACCTGGCACTATCTAGCTCGACTCCTATATCAGCTGATGTGCAACCTTCTCCCAGACAACATGAGGTGTATGCAGCTCTGGCAGTTGTATCAGCTGTCAAAGAACATACACTAGGTCTTGACTTCATTTTGCCAGGAAGAGAGGTTAAATCCTTAACTCTAAGGGGATTCCCATTGAGAGGGTGGTGAGTGAGGCTTGCCTAATGGTTCAATCTGGGAGCCAGGTTGGTGAAGTGGGGGTGGAAAAAAGGAAGAGGAAGGCTATAGAACAGGTGGGAAGAGGTGGTAAGAAGAGTTTTGTCTATAAAGGGCGAGGTGGATTTCGCAAGAGAAGAGAAGAGCAAGGAGGAATCTCGGTTGAAGGACAATAGCTGGGACAAAGAAGGGGGAGAGGAGTTAATGGGGGAGGACATGTGAGAAATTAGGCTCTAGTCTGGTATACGGATCGGGTAGGATCTTCAGGATGAAGATTCTAAGTTGGAACGTTAGGGGCTAAGTGAGAAGAAAAGAATAATAGTGGTCAAGAATTTGATTTGACATTTTAATCCCAAGGTTGGCCTTCGACAGAAACAAAGTTAGAGACTTCTAACACGATTGTGAAGGGAGAGATTTGGGGGAAAGGGAGTGGGGAGTGGCTGAATTTGGATGCTAAGGGGCTATCAAGGGGGTTATTATTTTCTGGGATTCCGGTGACAGGAAAATAAGGGAAAAGGTGGGCAAGTTCATAGTTTCAGTTTGCCTGCAGGAGACAAGTGGGGATTGGAGATGGGAGGTGACAAGTGTGTCTGATCCAAACACAGAAAGAGACAGAGCTGGCTTTTGGTATGAGTTGGGAAGCCTGAGGAGGATTTTATCAATGGAGGGGAATGTGGTTAGGAATGGAGAGAAGGGTGGGAGGGACGGAAGGTCAAGTGTGGGGATGAGAAGGTTTGAGGATTTCATCAATGGTTGTGGTTTGGTCGACCCACCACTGAATGGGGCAGATTCACCTGGTCAAGTGGACACGATCGAAAGTTCTCAAAAGATTAGACATATTTCATTTTTTAGGTTTGGTTGCCTTATTTTTCTTGAGTTTCTTGAGTCCTTTTACGGAAATGGCTATGGAGAAAAAGATATTCTTCCAGTGAAGTTCAATGGGACTAATTATGCTTTCTGGAAGTTCCATTTCCAGTTCTTTGTTGAGGGAAATGGTCTTTGGGGGTTTGTGGATGGCTCCACAAAGCAACCTAATAAGTCTGATTCAAAAGGGCTGAAACAATGGAAGATTGATAATGCCAGAGTTGTATCTTGGCTTCTTGGTTCCATTGAAACTGATATTGCTATTCTGATGAGGAGTTTCCGGACTGCTAGTGAAATGTTCACCTATATGGAAAAAGTGCATCAACAGTATTGAATTGTATTAAAGTAAAGAGTAGCAGCCTATGTATAATGAGAGCCTGTACAATGGGAATATACAGTGTGTCAACAAAAGAAAAGTTCAGCTTGCAAAAAAGAGTAAATCTGGACACCCCTGAAAGCCCTTTGTACACTAAACCAAGAACACAAAAAGCCTATAACCCTATTTTTTACTGAAACTACATCAGAAAAAAGAGTTGTCAAAAATTCGACCGTTCCTTTCCTTCCAGAGGGCCCAAATGATGACAGAAGGGAAAGTCCTCCAAAGCAATTTACCCCTGTTGTTCAATCCCTTAAGACGCCATCCTTGCAAGAGCTGAAGGGCTGAATCAGATAGGCAAGAATGGACTCCAAATCAGGAGAAAGCCAAATCCCACAGCTGAGAGGAGAAGCTGCAGTGAATGAACAGATGGTTGGAGGATTCAGGAACTTGATTGCATAGAGGGCCTAATATAACTATTAGTATATGCTAATAT